GGAAAAGTTCGATTATATGGATCATTTTGTTATGTACCACAAGAATCATGTAAGTAGATTATTATTATTATTGAAAATTTGTTCAAAATTTACTTATTATATTAATAGGGATATTCTCATCAACAGTAAAAAATAATATTCTTTTTGGTAAAAAATATAATTATAAGTTGTTTCAACGTGTTGTCCATGCAACTGCTCTTGACATAGTAGGTTAATTTTCATTTTTTTACAAGAGTTATTTTTCTGAATAGATTCTTTCAGTTGACTATGAATTAAAATTAATCAGTTAAAAACTTATTAGCAAATGTCTCTCTGCTCATTTGAGAAAAAGTTCTGAAAACTTCAGAATAGGCTTTACGACGTAAACCGTATCTTTGGTGAAACTTTCTTAAGAACTGGTCTTCTAGAAATTCTGAAGAAGAATTTATATTTGCTTTTAAACTTCTCATTCGATTATAAAAGTATTTGTTCTCACATATATATTTTGGAGAGAGAGAGATTTTTTAGTCGTAGGAATTATCTACAGAATATAGGTTATAGTTTTCAAAACTGCTGTCTCAATTCGGAGTTTGCTTTTAAACTGAAATGTATGAAATGAAAGTCGATGTTCTTTTTTTTTGTGTCATATCGCTAATGAATAATGTATAAATATGTTTAATGGCTAGGATTTTGTTCAATTACCTCATGGTGAAAATACTCTTGTTGGTGATCAAGGTGTCATGTTATCTGGAGTAAGATATGCTCGTTTATTTGAAAAAAAACATAATTTATTATCTATTATTGATAGGGTCAAAAAGCACGTGTCAATATGGCAAGAGCACTTTATCATGATGCTGATATTTATCTATTAGATGATCCACTTTCAGCTGTTGATAGTAAAGTTTCTAAACATCTCTTTGACAAGTAAATAGAATTTTGTTTTTTTTTAATCTTCAAAACATCGATGAATTTATTTTAGATCAATCAAATATTATCTTCGTGATAAGATTCGTATTTTAGTTACACATCAAATACAATTTTTACAAGGTGCAACTAAAATTATTGTTCTTGATAATGTATGTATATCAATGAAATATGTGTTTTTATTTAATTGAATATCTATAATATAGGGTGAAATGATACAAATGGGAACATATGAAGAATTACTTGTATCTTCACCATCATTTGCTCAACTTCTTGAAGATATTAATCAGCATGAACAACAACAACAACAACCAGCTTCTTTATTAAATCAACAATCAATGATTGGTTCAATAAGTTCAGAAAAAGATAATGTCGAAGAAGAAGATATTAATTCATTACCAAAAAATATTGAAACAAAACAAAAAGGAACAGTAAAATTGAATGTTTATGTATCATATCTTCGAGCTGGTATTGGTGTCAGTTTGGGTTTTCTATTAATTATAATTATATTTTCAACACAACAAGCAATAACTATTTATAGTAATTGGTGGTTAGCAGCATGGAGTAATGATGAAAGTCATCATCATAATCAGAATTCAACCAATTGTATGGTTATACAAGATAAGAAAAATGATAGAATATATCAAATGAATGATATTGAATGGAATACATATCGAAATCGACGATTTTATATATTTTGTGGTTAGTTGATCAATGAAATTTTAATTATTATTCAATATTCTTATATTTAATTTTAGTTCTTGTATCTATACTTTGTTTTTTGATATTTCTTCGTACTATTGTCTGTCAACTTATATGTTTAAATGCTGGACGAGTTCTTCATAATAAGTAAATTATTATTATTATTATTATTAAATTTAATCTTCTATATTTCTCTCATTTTTTTTAAGAATGTTTAAACGAATAATCCGATGTCCTATATCATTTTTTGATACAAATCCTGTTGGTAAGACATTTACAATTGAATATCATGGATTCGAATTTCTCTTCAATATGTTTTCTTTACAGGTCGAATATTGAATCGTTTTACAACTGATGTCGCTACAATGGATGATTCTTTACCGATGATTGTACTCGATTTTCTTGTGGTAAATATTATTTATTTGTTTTGTTTTTA